TCTCTCTCTCTCTCTCTCTCTCTCTCTCTCTCTCTCTCTCTCTCTCTGTCTCTCTCTCTCTCTGGCTGAGCTTCAGTCAGTGCATCTACACGGACGTGACCCTGATCCCCTTAAATCTCCTTTAATCTACACACACACACACACCCCATCAGAAGCATCACAATCATCGGTGGTTCGGTGGTAAAACGGTGCAGAACACTCGATTCTCAGGCTTAAATGTAGCTGCAGGAATGTTTGTATTTTCCCATCATGCACCAGGTTGTCCAAATAGTGGCTTGACCCCTCAGTGACTGGTTGTGGAGGATTTTTAATCTTTTTTTATTTTTGTCTACATTTTTCTCCCACGATGACGTCGGTCTGGCCAACATTTTCCACCCCACATAGTTAAGAATACCTCAGTTGTGCCGGAAATATCCCGAAATCACAGCACTGTAAGAACAGTGCAAGGTCAGTTGGACTTCCTAATGTCACAGACAGATGGGAAAGCCGTTTAGTGATAGTTGGATTACGTCTGAAATGGTTTTGATAACAAAACTGAAATGAAAGTTTTTAATCCTATTGTCTCATTGTGTTGAACAGATGTACATAATCATTTCTACCCTTTTCTTCTTCTGTCTGTGTCCTCCACAGGAAGGTGTGGTTGAGTAAAGAAGGAAGTCCATCCAGTCGGATCACCAAGGCCTCCTTCACCAACCAGAGAACCATCGACAAGCTGGAGCTCTCCGGCTTCAAGACCCGCTTCTGATCAACGAATCAAACGTACCCCAGAGACCTTCCTTTCCCTCTCTAGAGAAAGACACTGAGAGCTGCTTCTCGCATTCAGAGTTGTGCACTAGCTAACGGCAGTGATTTGAGTTCAGATTTGATGTGAGTTCTGTGCATGACGACTGTTGAATGACATGTTGGAGCTGGAGTTTGTTTGTAGAAGGACTCAGGTTTGAGTCCAGAACAGTGGAGAGTTTCAGGCGGAAAGTAAAATTTGTCAAATAAATAAATATATGGTAACATTTTATTTGATAAAAGGAAAAACTTTGGTGTAATGTATACAATACTCAAAAACACTGACTGTTTGAAGAAAGTTTTTACTGAAGAAGTTAAAGATTACAGTAATATTTTTCTAATATTCTGATGGCATACATTCATGTTTGATGCAGTTACAGTAAATGAAGACAAGTAACGATCTGATGTAAAACACTGCACTTGAGTTTTAGAACAGAATTTGCCTTTGTGTTAAATTTTGTCAAGTTGCAAAGGAAATCATGAACAGTTAAGTTTAGTTAAGTTAAGTTACGGTGGAAAACATACCTAGACAGTTAAGTAAGATTAAGTTAAGTTACAATGGAACATGTTCGACCTAAACGGTTAAATTGCATCAATTTAAGTTGGGTTAAGTTAACTATTGAAACTCCTTCAACTTCAGGACCAAGTCAGAGTTAGAAGAATGAAATGAACATCTAGACATGCCCACCATTCCAGAAGTGACACTTAGTCTTGACTTTATTTTTAAATGACAGTTTAGATCATTGTAATGGTTTGATGCTAGCAGATCAGTGTGTAGTTCTTCATCAGGTTTGTGAGCTGCAGGTTTGCCGGTTTCCATTAAATCTACCACTGTGTGTCTATACATAGTATGTCACTGTATGATGTAAACAAACACAACCCAGCCATGTTGTCAGGTGAGGCGATTAGGTCTACCTGTCAACTGATCCAATTAAATCAAATCCAGAGAATCCCTGATCGGCTGGCAGCAACAACACAAACCCTGACACAGCAGGAACAGAGCTCCTGTTCTGTACAGCGACTGTGTGTGTGTGCACGTATATATATATATATGTGTGTGTGTGTGTGTGTGTGTAAATGTGTGCACAAATAATCCTTTAAGTCTTATTTCTCATAAAATATCTGCTCTTAAATCAAATTTTAAAAACACGCTAAGGATAAACGTTGATTGTACGTGTGCATGCGTGCGTCGGTGCTTAGAGACCAACTCTCCCTGGATACACTGTTAGGGGACGCTCTGTCGTCATGCCAACACCGCCCCTCCCCCGAGACATTACTCACTCTCACACACACACACACACACACACACGAACGGGACAAGAAGGAGGTGTTAGTTGTTAGTGTGTGTTTGAATAAGATCTTAATGTAATTACATACTTACATAACATGCTGGAGCACTAACCCTCCATCCATTATCATAGCTGTGTGTGTGTGTGTGTGTGTGTGTGTGTGTGTGTGTGTGTGTGTGTATGAGGATAGAGTAACTAAGATAAACACTTCATACAGTTGAATCGACACTCAGTGAGTGCTGGACACGTAAATCGTGTAGAGGCTTCGTTTCCTTGTTTTTAATCAATGTTTCTTGCTTGGATCTTGTATTTCACATCTGCATGTTTACAATACAAACATTTGGAAGTGCTTGATCACTTCACGCCACAATGAAATGAGGCGTGTTAACGTCACCTGCGACGTTTCAAATAAGATACTCAAAATGGTCAGGTGAGCTGCCACAAAATAACCCATAAATAACTTTTTTTTTTACCAAGAGGTATCTCCAGGTGTCTTTTTCACATTTACATTCCCTTCCAACGCTACAACCACACGCTGCTGTTCCAGAGATCGTCACAAGCCTGATGTCTGAGACAGTTCTGTCTTTTCCCAGCCTGTTTTTTTGTCCGTGAACGCACCCAAATACAAACCCCCACAATCCTCCACCTCCAACAGCACTTCTCACACTTTCTGTTCACTGCAAAAATCTGGTGCAAATAATTCAGCAAGCAATGATAATACAGTCGCCCCCACACTCGTACTGGTGCCGAGAGAGAGGGAGAGAGAGAGAGGGAGAGAGATGGAGAGAGAGAGAGAGAGAGAGAGAGAGAGAGAGAGAGAGAGAGAGAGCCCACTTCAGTCACTGTGGAAACGCTGGAAAAAAATCCACTGGCCTCGACCTCTTCTTCCTCCTCTTCTTCTTCCTCCTCCTCCTCCTCCTCTTCCTCCTCCTCTGCCTCCGCCTCCGTCTTACCAAGCAACCAGTTTGGCATCCCATAGTGGTCACCATGGAAACGCCACTCTGTCTGGAAGTGTTTGTGAGAGAAAGATACGAGAAAGACAAGAGAAGTTGATGCCTTCTCGTTTCTCCAATCTCCTTCTCTTCTGTGTCCTCTCCTCCTCCCTAAACTCCTTCTTTCCTTCTCTCCTCCCCTCTAATCCCTTTCTTTCCTCCTCTCTTAACTCCTCTTTCTCTCCTCTATCCATCTATTTTCTCTCTGAATATCTGCCCAGCACTTTAACTGCCCACACAGTTGGTCTTATTCATCATGTCACACACACACACACACACACACACACACACACACACACACACACACCTGAGTGGGTGCTGACAACCAGCTGTTGCCAGGCAACATGTTGAAGTTGAGTCCAACTAGGCTGTGAAAGAAACTCTGACATTTAACACAAGCAGCGTCGTTTGTTCGCTTCTCTTCTATTCAGAGTTGGAGAACTTGAAGTGATGAAAAGATACTTGGAAGTATTTATTATTTAGACTACTTGTAGACAAAACTATCCCAATTTGCACAAAATGTTTTTTAGGATAACAAACTGACCTAACCTATTTCTCAGGTTTCAGGAGGATACTCTACATAAAGCGAGCATCCCAGAGGCAGAACAGTGTGTCGTAAAAGGAACACATTCTAATAAAAAGCACAGTTATATCTAGAATCATCTCCTTCAATCTATTTGACTACTCCCACTACTAATTCATACCTACACATACTGCAGTTTACACATTTAGATGCTATTTACGCACTTGGGAGTATTTCGATTGCCTCTCAACGGCTCTCAACATGGCGACGGTTGAGCTGGCAGCTAACTAACGGTGCAAACGACAGCAAAAGGGCTGACAGAGCACACGGTGTTTACCTGAGGGGGACGCTTGATGTCAGTAGGAACGATGTTATGTATGAGAGCAGAGCATAGCAGCGTCTGTGAGCTAACCAGTGGGGCACGCTAACATGCACTAAAAGCAGCGCGGCCGGGCGGCTATGTCAGCAAAGTACAGAGAAGCTCGGATAACAACACATACAGAGGAAGAGCGACATTAGATAGCAATTGTTTGCTGCTATATTGATTAAAGGAATGCTCTGAATCCTGTATATCAGGGGGATGGGTCACTGACATAGTTAGGATTCCCATGAATATCCACTGTGAATGTCATGGCTGATTTACACATTTACACATTTTAAAAAACAAGATATGTTTTTCATCCCAACATGCCCAACGACCTCTGGCCTCTCGGTGAGGACTGAAGCTGATTATTGACGTCATAAAATGACATTTTACACAGCAAACAGGGAATGACTTCAGCTCTGCTCTCATGCAGCAGCTGCGTGATGGGAATTACCTCCATGACCTTTCACCTTCTCCTCAACATCCTCTGCTTCAAAACAAATATGGCTGCGGTCTGCAGGACATTTCTACATGGTGTCTGGTATCTGAGTGATAATCCTCAGCACACACACACACACGCTGAGCAAACTGTGTGTTTTTGTGTGTGTGTGTGTCATCACGAGCCCAGAAAGACCTTCAAGGCCAGATCACATTCTGCCACACACACAGTGTTAATGCACACACACACTGCTGCATTACGTGTCAGCACACTTGGATGTCCTTCATACCAAGAATGCATCGTTCTCAGTTTGTGTGTGTGTGTGTGTGTGAGTGAAGTCATCATTATAATGACACAACATGATTACAAACTGACTGACAGACACTATATATACCATCTTATCTCATTGTAACGAGATATAAGAGTTTAATTTGTTAGTTTTATATAATAATTGTTTATTTTTTTTACCATAACTTGATTTAATGGCTTTATTAATTGTATTTCTCCCCTCAGCTCCTAAATATGCCTTTGTAAATGATCAAATCAAGGTTTATTGTCACATCTACAATAATACACAGAGCAATTCAGAGCAAATCTGACAAATAGATGAATGAAATAGAAAATTAATCTTACAATTTAAATAGAAAACGACCCCAGCTACAATAACTGTAAGCGTGCCACATCTGAAAGCAACTAAACGTATTTACTCTGGCTTTTGCCACATTTCTATCTACGAGACGTGCAGAGATGGAAGGAAGCTGCCCCACCTACACATTCTCATTTAATTTATTCTTAATTATTCTCTTATTCTCTTTCCTTCCTTATATATCTATCGTAGTTGCAGTTGGAGTGGGTGGGAGTTTACTTCTGATGCATCATGCCAAGACATGATCTGACTTTGTTGTACAACACTTTTATCTTGAAAATGAATAAGAATACTGCTGAAAAGAAAATGAATATAAGAAACAGATACAATACGATAAAGAAATAGATTAAAACCAACAAAACATCTGAGTATAGGATCAAACCATCTATTTGTATTTGCATTTGTGGAAGTGATGTTTGTCCTCATTAGTGTGTCCCAGTGAGCTCTGATAAACTTAATCACAAGAACCTTCCAGAAAAATGTCACCTCTATACATCACGCAAGTGGTGATTGCAGCAGTCCAACATGTAGTCTGTCTCCTGGTCGAGTCGGACCTCTAATCTAACACAGTGGCCATCTCAAGACAGACAACATGCGCACAACTTTGACCTCTCAACCAAATGTAGCTGATATTTAACCTGGACACCTAGACATCTTTGGACCAGCAAATCACCAAATCAGTGTTTAAATAGGTCCGGGATATTTCTGCAGAAACAGTCTCCTTCATTTTTCCTACAGACAAACTTTAAGGCAACTAAAACAACGTGAGAGCGAAGAGGACAACTGGAGCTCATGTCTGATGATTCATCAGTGTAGGAGGTTTGTAGAGATGAGTGCTCGGACAGAGAGCCGCAGGGTATCAGCTGTCTGCTGGACGCAAGGGACGATGTGATGGATGAAATGTGGAGATAAGAGCAGGGTGAGCATTACATGTCCTCACACAGAGGGCCTGCTGGGAAATGTGTCAGGGGAAACTGAAACACATCTAACACCACAGTTGTGAGATGAATACAACATAGATGTTTCTAACAGTTAATGTTCTTTTCTTTATATATTCATTCTGTTCTGTCACACTCATCCCTAACTTTTCAGAGTCTGTTTGGCATCATTCACTCTCTGCAGACTCTCTCCCTCCAGCTCTCTGCTGGCTGAATCTCCGCCTCTCACTCAGACTCTTGGAGCTGGACGCGCTTCATTTATATGCCTCTGCAGCCTTGAGGGGTGGAGACAATCCAGTAGAACCAGTGGGATCCGAAAAATTGCATTGTCACTTTTACCTTTTATTCATTCAGTGAAAAAGCAAGGAGAATCGATCAAGTTACGTTTTATTTTGTATGGATGTACCAGGCAACATATATCATATTCAACTGTAGAATCATTGCACAGAGTACAGGTACTGATACAGCAAAATACAGTTAACCAGAAGTACAAAAAAGCAGTAAAGTGCAGAGTAATGTACATATGTATAGAGCTAATATCAATAATACATAAACAGTAAGGACGTCTGCTAGCCTATACATTTCCCCTGTTAAAGTGTGTTTAAACATACATTCTAGTTAAGGTTAAATTATAAAACATATTTCATTTTATAAATGAGCAAAGAAATGCACACAACTAAATGCAAATAGTTCATATTTGCATGGTGTTTAAAGAAGTATCAAGAAGTTGTGATGTAATGTGAGTCGGAGCAGCACAAAAACAATACGGA